CTCTGTTGTTATTAATAGCAAACACGTTATAAGGTTAAAGCATAATGCACACTAATAGTTGGTTATCCTGCCTTATGTATATTTTACATAGATGCCTTTTTTATCAGGAAAAATGAAATTTCTACAGATGGTCTCATCAGACAGCTTACAGTTTGTTCCAGGTTTTTTTTTTTTTGTTGTTGTTGCTGTTTTTTTAACTAGCTGCTCCTAGATGTATGTGGTAATGGGTGTGTCTGCATAGGTATGGGCTATTTCTGACAATTTTCTCTATCCTGACTGAATCCAATACACAGATCCAGACTCCTCCTCATCACTACCAATGTGGAAACAAAACACACTGTATTGATGGACTTTAAGGTTCAGTAGCTTCAACCAGAAAATCAGGCCCCTTCTTCTCCCTGCAGAGACAAATGAACATCAACCTAATTATTACTTAACCTTGTCCAAAAACTGAACCTGAGGGAACATCTTTTTCATGGTTCTCAGGTATCAGAATGTTAAACATGGGATAGTTGTGTGGATGGATAGCAAGGGTGAGGCTAAGTTGGTGACACAGAGCACATAAATATTTAGCTGTCACCTAGTGCCCCATAACTTACATTTCAAGCATGGGTTAAGGTATTTAAGTATGTGACCAATAAAAGAGTAGCATGTTGGTGTCATCCCTGAAGCCTCTCACCTTTCTTTAATGAGAAAAGACAGGAGAGAGGAACATGCTAATGTCAGCACCATGATGTTTCAGAACAACAACCAAATAAAAGCCTTACTTGTTCTATGTCTGGACAATGAAAGGTGTCTTGTAGTTTGACTCCATTGTCATTATCTGAACAAAAACCACTGGCTGTTTCAGGCTGATTAAACTGAGGGAGGTGCAGGCTTTGACCATGGTTCTGCAAGCATTGCAGAGCTGCACTCCTTTAAGCAGCTCAAGTGGAACTGGGTTGCCTTCCTGATGTACTAAAGGAGAGGGACTCATGGCCATATTTTTTTTCAACAGGAAGGCCCAAAAGGACTTATCTGCAACATAAAGAACATTCATTAGAAAAGTTAATAGTGTTTTTTTTCAGAATAAAACTTTTGGATAGAAAAAATATTCAATTATTGCTGGCAGAGTGGAGACAGTTATTCTTAAATATTTGCTAGGGCACTTATTCTCCTGGCAAATCACAGCAACAAGGAAAGGCTTTTAATCTTTCACAGGAATTTAAAAATCACTAAAAGTTCATAATAAGCATGCAGGGTGGGTGTTGCAGCCAGAATTATATATACAATCCCAAGACGGACTTGGTCTTATGGCATTTGATTATGAGTTGGCTTTAACAAAAGGATACTAGTCAGTTTTTTTTCTTTTTTCCAACAGTTCTACCATGTGCTTTTCATGACAGAAGACTGAGTATGAAATTTCCCTTCAGCAGATCAGGGAGCCTGCTCATGGCCTGGGGGGTTCATTCACTATTCCTGTTCTCACACTGTCTCCATGTGCTGACAACAGAGGTGGTCACATCTCTGACCACATGAGTCACATCTTGTTTTCCAAAGATGCATTCCTCTCATGGGAGCTCTGTCTCAGGATAACTTTTTCTCCCACTTGATAATGATGAGCTCCTTCTTGTTGCTTTTCCCCCATGCCCAGTTTCAAGCCAATCCCCACACAACTGTTGTTCTTAGCATAGCTCTACTATGTATTTGCACACGTGTGTGAGCTCCACAATTCTTAACCCTCTTGTCTTCATCCACAACTTTGTGTTGCAATCCGTGTTTTTAGATCTAAGGCTCTGGTTTTGTAAAACAGAGGGGTCATGGATTCAGCTTTGTTTCTTTCTGCAGAAAGACTGGCTGGGGCATTTTCTCCTGTGCCTCCATCTTTTCGTCCTCTCCTTGTTTTCCCCCTCCCTTGTGACTGCTGTCTTTGCAGAGTGGTGGTGAATGACTTTGAATGAATATGGGAGAAGGCACAGACTTTGCCAAAGGACAATGTCTTTAAGCCAGAGACCTGGTGTGCTGCAAACTTAACTTGACCTCTCCAAGACTTTGCTTCTAATCCACTGCTCTCACAGGTACAGCTGACCTGTTCATATCAGAACTGAAAACATGACACTGATTTCTCATTTTAAAAGTTCATCCAATCTGACCAGCTTGGGGTTTGGAAGGAGCTCTGCCAGCAGCTCTGTCTTCAGCTCCAGTATGGGCATGTCTGCTGAGCACTAAGCCAGACACTTGGAAGAGAACATGTAAGCTTTGCTTATTTGCCTTTCCCTCACTTAATTACAGAGAGTCCTCCAGAGTTTTCTCCAAGGTTTTATGAAAATCATCTGGTAGGGCATCTAAAGACTTAATGTTGTAAACAAGTAAACAAAAATCTGCAGCTTAGAAGGCCAAATTTCAATTTGATTTATTTTACAATCTATAGAGTTTCACTGGTGACAGTGGTTTTGTACAGGTTATAAGTGCAAAAGAATGTGAGAAAGGCTTCATGCTCATCTTTGGCAAATGCTGTATCCCATCTGTTTGTCACTATTAGAACATTTCTTCATTGGCAGCTGAAAAACAAAATGTACAAAAGGATGCCATAAACTATTCCATACTATCATCAGTACAACCAAAGGCAAGCAGTCATTACTCTCATAATGATGCAGCCTCTCACTTTGGAACTGTCAGAGGCCTTCAACCCAACACATTCAGTGACTAAATGGTCTACTCAAGGCACAGGAAATGGTGAAGTCTTTGGAAGAGGCACCAAGAGAAATGATTGTATGTCTTTACATTCTGCTTAGAAAATAGTGTCTTGTGATACAGAATTCCTACTTTGTGGCTCCTCTTGTTTCTTAAAGGTTTTTATATGTCAGGCAAAAAATTAAAATCTCAAATAAGATACTGTATCTTTATACTGTACATCTGTTTTATCTTCTGATCTAACTGAGATGAAATGAAGTCAACCAGAACATTTAAAAATGACCTGTATTTACTATCTACTCTGTGAGCCCTGAAGTGAAGCTCTGAAGAGGTTCTGAGCAAGCTTAAAGGGAGTTACCTACAACAGGCATTTAGAAGGACTGCAAGATTTGTATAACTTGTTTAAACTTGAGATATCTTTTTGCTGGTGAGCCGTTTTCTGATGACAATATATACATCTCTCTTGTCTGTTTAAAGGATCTAGAATCCCTCCCTCAGTGACAAACACATGCCAGAGATTTTAGCTAACTTTCAATTATTCTTAAAGATTATGGATGTAGTTATTTCAAAAACCAAACTACCCAGCTGCAGTTGCAAATTTTTATTTGCACTATTGGAAGCTGTATTAAAGTCTGGCTAAAATCTAACTTTCAGCTTGAGTAACCATGCTTTGAAAATTCTTTCTAAATTCCTCATCTATAGACCTTTAACAAGCTCTTCAAGGGGGATGGGAACATGGATTTACCAAAGTGCACAGCAAATACTGTGTCATGTGTATAACACAAAAATGTTTTGTGGTGTGTATAGGGTTAGTTCTGCTCATGGAAAGGAAGTGTTGATTCTTTGGCTGGAGAAGGAAATTCTCCATCTATATGCAGGCATGATGCCCCTTTGTACCTCCATCTTATGACATACTTACTAACTCCTGTAGGGGAGACAGCCCCTCAGCTCTTCCAGCAGACATAAAAGAAAACCTCATTCACTCAAGGGAAAGGTTCAGCACTAAACACAAGGTCTATGAACAGGCCTCTGTGGTGCTTGGAGTGTACAAGTTGAAACACATTGCTAGGGTGGCATCAAGCACCACGAGAAGCTGCTCAGGCCTTCAGCAGTGCTGCCATCCAGCACGATGTTAAAGCATGGCTGTGTTCCAGCACTGTGTTATGCCAGAGGTGTCTAATGGCATTCACAGAGCTGGGTAGTGAATTTACTGCACATAAATTACCTCTGGTATTCCAAGGGTGGTTGTACACCACTCGCTTCCCATGCAGGGAGTTTGCCACGTAGGCAAGTCCGAGTGCTGCTCTAAGTGATTTTAAAGAGTATTTTGCAATCTGCCAAGTCATGGCAGCCCACTGTAGAAAAAGGACAAGGCGTAATGGGTAAAAATTGAAAGAAGGGAAATTTAAGTTAAATATTGGGAAGAAATTCTTTCATGTGAGGGTGGTGAGGCCCTGGAACAGGATTCCCATAGAGGTTGTGGATAACCCAAAAGTGTTCAAGGCCAGGTTGGATGGAGTGTGGAGCAACCTGGTCTAGCAGAAGGTGTACTTGCTCATGGCAGGGGGATGTGGGGATTTGGATTAGAGACTAAAAAAGTTTTTTCACTGTTTGGGTGTCAGGCATCGGAATGGGCTGCCCAGGGATGTGATGGAGCGACCATCCCTGGAGGTTTTAAGAGGTGTCTGGCACAAGTGCTGGGCAATGTGGTTTAGGAATTACAGGGGTAGAGCTGAGCAGATGATGATCTTGAAGGTCCCTTCTAATCGTGATGATTCTATTCTCTCTTTAAGGTCCTTTCTATGATTCTGTGATTGCTCACCGCCAGCCGCCCTGCCAGTGCAGACACTCTCCAGAGCCGGCATCCCGAGGGCACTGCCAGTGACAGCACCTCGCAGTTACAGAGGACACACGGCTCTGTCTCTGTGGCTCCGGGATTAGGGCAGGCCCGTCTGAGCGCCTCGCAGCCGCTGCTCCGCTTTCTGACGCCGAGGCCTTGGCGCCCGGGGCCTGCGCTCCGGAGCAGCGGGCCGCGGGAGCACCGGGGCGGCCCGGGCTGCCAGGGAGCCCCGGGGGTACCGGAGCCCGGCGCGGGGGCCGGGCCGGGCCGGGCAGGGGGTGTGGAGCGCCCGCCTCTCGCGGCTCGCAGCCGGGTGCCTCCCGCGGGCCGCGGGCGCGTACCCAGAGTGCAGCAGGCGGGCGGCGCGGCCGGACCCAGCGCCGGCACCCACGGCCGGCTCTCCCCCGGCGCGGCGGGAGCCGGGCCCAGGCGGCGGCGGCGGCGGCGCGGCCCAGAATGCGACACTGAGATGCTTCTTCCCCCGGCAGCGGCGGCGCCCCGGGCCCAGGCGGCGGCGGCCCCCGCGTGGATGCGGCTCTGGAGCCGGCGCTTCGCCCTGCACAAACATTTCTATAGGACTCATTCGCCCTGCTGAGGAGATCGGCCCAGACCGGCCGCTTTCCCTCCCCTCCCTTTCCCCGCTGCCCCGGAGACTGCCGGCGCGGCCCGGCCCGCATGGAGGCCCCCGGCGGCGGCGCCTCGCCGCTGAGCCCCGCGCTGGTGGGGCGGCTCCGGCGGGAGCATGAGAAGGTAAAGGGGGCACCGGGGCCGGGCCGGGGGGCGCGGGGGGCCGGGCCCGGGCCCGGGCCCGGGGGGACCGGGGCGGGGAGGGCACGTGGCTGCCTGACGTCACGGGCGGCGGGCGAGGCGGGCCGGGGCACCCGGAGACCCCCGGAGACCCCCGGGCCGGGGACACAGTCCTTGGGACACAGCCCCTGGGACACACAGTCCTTGGGACACAGCCCCTGGGACATAGCCCCCCGGATTCAGCCCCCGGGACACCGCGGGAAGCGAGGTCGGGAGGCGGCAGGAGGGAAGGCCCTGCCCGCACCCCGGGCTGCCCCAGGCTGCCGTGGTTAGTAGCGCCCATGAACGCGTGTTTTTATCCTCTACACGCCTGCCCATGAACGCGTGTTTTTATCCTCTACACGCCTCTCCATGAACGCGTGTTTTTATCATCTACACGCCTCTTCGTGATTTTTCCGGCCTCCGGGACAGTCACGCCTCCAAAACCTCCCGGCCGTGTCTGTGACCTGCGTCATGCCGGGGGCCAGCGTGCTCCTGGGCCAGCTTGAGGAGACCGTGTGTCAAAACTTTAGTTGTTCATGACTTGCCTTAGGAATCTTTGGTTGTATTTGAAATGGGTTTTGAAGAACCAGATTTTTCTGCAGAAACTATTCCCAAGAGTTCAGAGGCTGGTTCTACCTGAGACCATAGCACAAAACTCAAGATACTTTTTCGTGTAGATGACAATCATGATCTAACTCAAGTGGGTCCTGAAAACCTAAGGAGTGCGATTTGGGGCTTGCAGATTCCAGCCTCGCAGTGAGCTCTGTGTGGGTGCAGGAGTCACTGGAAATAACTTGTGGTCATGTGCTGGGTGTTGACACAAATACAGTCTGCAGACCTTTCACACTTTCTGCTCTTGTGATTAATTTTTTTTTTTAAGTAGAGGGTAAGATGCACATTAGAGTTCCTCAGTTATAATGGAAGATTTTATCTCCAGCCTGTATTTTGTCACATGCTGGTTTAGTTGAGAAAAAGTGAGTAACACCTGTGGGGTATAAAAATGTGCCTTGTCTGGAATATTGTGTGCACAAATGTGTCTACTTTTGAATACCCATTAGATCTTTACTAAAAGACCTGTGTAGCCAGGATGTGGATGAAGAATGAGAGGGTCTGCTGGAATCCTCTGCATCGTCTCCCCTGCACGGATTGGAACCCATCATGCCAATAACTGGTGATAGGAACTTGCCTGCTTGGGCTCCTTCAGTGAATTTTCAGGGTGGTGGAATCTGGTGAAGAGTAATTTCCCTGGTACATTAGTGTCAGGCCTAATGTGTGAGCACACGTCTGCCATAGCCACAGAGAATTATTCCCAGTTCATGATAAGACCCCTCTGTAAGCAAGTTTAAGACTCTTCTTAAACAGATCTGCTCCAGTGGAAAAGAGGCCCAGGAGACCATTAATTAAGCCTCTGTTAGGCTGATGTACCAAAGTTATATTTTATCATAGGGAAACTTTACATAATTTCTGCAAATTGGCTGAAAAAAATGGAACACTTCAGCTTCAATATGAAATTATACTAAAGAACTACATATCTTGGTTACAATGGAGTGTCGTGATGAAGATATAGTAGACTTTCCCTCTATGCAATGAATATATATAATTGGATTACAACGGTATTTTCAGTTACAAAAATATTGTATTTTAAGATGGAGGAGGTCTTTTCATTTCAACTGCCTCTTCTTAGAGATCCGTATTTTTCCCACAGAATCACTGGAGTTGAAGGCTCCTGTTTTGTCTCAGCACAAAGAGGAAGGAGAATGAGTTACCCAGTACTTCAGTAAACTAGTAATTGTAGTGTGAGGATCATAGAAAATAGTGAAGTTACTTAGCCAGAACAATATCTCTATCTACTGGCAGGCAGATACATTTCTTTTAATTACTGGGATGTTGTGCTGTCCCAGCAATGCTTGATTAAGTATAAGGAAACCTATTTATTCCCATTAATCTGAGGGCAACCTTTAGTGAAATCGTGGAATACATCAGTACCTATCTGCAGCATTAAAGATAATATTTGATTTGTGGCTGGTTATTTTAACACCCAGGCCATTGTACGACCCTGGTTCAGCTATGGGTTTGAGCTTTTAAGTGCTAAAGAGCTGCCCTGGAGAACTTGTGAGCTGAGGCTTCCTTCCTGCTTAAAAATACCGAAAGAAAAGGATGTCCATGACTTTCTGTCTTTAATCAGATAGAGGCTGCAACTTCTAGGTTTAGGACCCCTGGTGAAAAGTAATTTTAATTCTTGTTTAGGACTGCTTGCCTGTTGGACAGATTTCATCTTGTTAATTTGTGGTGATAGTAAGACCAAACTGTTAAAAGCAATTTTCAGTGCTCCTACTAAAGGCACTTTGTATAAAAACATGACTTAGAATGTGTATCTTGGGGATAAATTATAGAAGAATATCTAGTAATTTTCATGATAAAGACCATCATTGGAAGCACAATGCCTGCGTAAAGTTTTGAATATTTCTGTAAGAAGAATATAATGTATGTGTCATGGATTACTTGTAAAAGCAATATATGTTAGCTGAAAATACTGCAGTAAATCTATTGCAAGTTAGTAGAGGAATTATAAAATGAATATTTAAATAGGAGGTTTCTCATGCTATAGGCCCTGCATTTAAACATAATATTTGATATACATTTATTCCTGCAATCAAGTGGGTTGGGATTACTAACTGATGGGAAGTTGACAAGTCAGATGTGTATGATTTGGAAAGACTTGTGTAGACAGTGAATTTACAGTGGGATGATAGGTTCTATAGTTCCTGAGCAATGCAATGACAGTACGTGTAATGGGAGACATTACAGAGCCAATTAGACCCAAGAGACATTTGCAGAGTGCAGACACAGGCATGGAGAATCTAAAGGATTCCAGTATTAGATGGCAGTATGATTTTTTTTTTTTTTTATTGCACTGACAAACACACTTTTTTATTTTCCTTTTATAAAAATTAGGACAAGGAAGTGACTCTCCTGTCACTCACCATGACAGCAAAGCACAATTAGATTGAGTGCAGCTCTTACTGTAACTCATTGGCCATTGTGCATTATGACATATTCTTAATTTTTATGAATTGAAATGGTAGAGCTGTATAATCTTTAATTTCCAAATGATTTTCAAGATCCTGGGTACTTAAAGTTTTTTGACAGTTAAAAAAACTTGTAGGTGGGTTATGGAGAAACAAATCACAGAATCCTAAGCTTACACTCTTTTAAATTGTTTCCTCTTCTACATGATTTACTTCTGGGGCTGACTGCTTCTGTTTGTCTTTTCCAAGTGATATCTGTGCTATGAAATCAGCAACTTGGCAGTTTAGAGCTGTTCCTGCAGTCTGAAAAGGAGCAGTGAAGCAGAGCAGAGTCTTGTTCACTTGATGCTGCTCAGGAGCCACTGGAAATCAGGAAGTGCTTGCCTGCAGACTCACGGATGAGACTCAGATGTGCTTTCCAGTGTAGTGTCTCCCATGGTTTGCACTTTTTCCAACCTGTGTCCAAGTTCACAGAATCCAGAGAATGCCTGGGTATGAGCCACCAGTGCAGCAGGACTTCATTTTGCACAATAACTGTTTGAGAAAAGGGAACAGAGTGTCTAAAGCTTGGTTTGATGTGCTCCTTTTAAAAAGAACCTGTGTGAAGCTTTATTTGCCCCTATTCCTTTTTAAAAGGTACCTGGACAATTACCTTTTTGGAAATTGTGTTGAAATACACTCCACCCTGTCCACTGGTTCCAGTAATGTTTTTTCAGGTGCTGCATTCAAGTAAAAGGGCTAATTCAGTCATGATCTGGAAGCTTTTTATGGAATACTTATTGTTCCTCCAGTGTTAATTGATCATCACATTTACTTTTTTAGTCAATATTTGTCCATGTTCTTATTAGTATGAGTTAAATACCCACAAGTTTATATAGTGCCAAGAGCTGTGAAATAAAATTAACAGATCTTCAGTAGGTTTTTTAATGGTAATTGGAGGAGATTTGACAAAAGAGTTTAAAGAGCCTTTGCCTTTATTCTGGAGAGAGCAAGTCTGTGTTCAGCCTCATTGGTAGCTAAAATGTGTAGATGACATTATATGCAAAAAATTGAAGTGTTACTGAATTGTGCTGCTCCTACAGCTGTCTGCAGAGGCTGTGAGCAGATGCAGTGACCAGGGTACCATTTGGGAATGGTGTTCAGTATCTTTGCAGATCTCCATTCCATAGGTTCAGCTTGTAGCCTGTCTTAGATCTGTTTGGACGCTCCTCGTCTCAAGTACTTCTTTCATCCTTTGAGTTTGTGAAATGATACTTTGTTTGAGTCTGAGCCTCCAGTGTTGCAGGTGGATCTGCATCAAGGCTTACCTCTTTTTGCCCTCAGAGCAGCAGGTACACTAAGGCTCCGTGTTTGTTTGGTTGCATTGGGACACTGCTGCACTGTGCAGGTGCTGCTTTTGTAGTTCCTCCTGTCTGTTAGCATAGGCTGCAGCACAGGAGCCACAGTCTTAGAAACTTGCTCAAAATTTTCATAAATGATCATGTGAGTTGTCTAACTGACTTAAATTTGAACAACTGGTTAATCTTTTTGTGTGTACTTTTTTCAGTTCTTTAGCAGTTTTAGGGTGGCACATTTGTGACAGTGCTTAGTGAACTGGGCTGGGCTCCAGATTAAAACCAAACTTTATTATTGACCTTTTTGCCCCCTTTTTTTTCCCCCTCCTTCCTGGACTATTTTTCATCCACTGTGGATCCCTAATGTGGTTACAAGTGTCTGTCAGCAGATCGTGTCAGCTTTGGGAGGATGAGACAGTGGAGCAGAGTAGCAGGAGCCAGGGAGGGATGAGGCTGAGTTTACTCAGGACTGTGGCTGAAAGCTGAACCACAGCCTGCAGCTATGTCTGTGAGGCAGGTGTCACAGCTCATGGCAGTTTTAAGCCAGTAAAGCTTAGGTTTTGCTAGCAGCATAGTTTTTGCACCATAAACTCCATCA